CTTGCTGGTCGCGGTCGTGGCGGTCTTTTTCGAGTGCTTGCTTGTCCGAGGTGAATGATCGGGCCAACTGCCGACACTCTTCAGCGTGGTGCACAATTTCAGAGAGAGGGTTGAACTCTGAGACGTCGAGACGATACGGCAAAATGGTGTCAAGGGTAGAGCATGGCTCACGCCCATATAAAAGAAAGAAAGGCGAGAAGCCTGTGGTTGACTGTGTCGCGGTGTTGTACGCATAAGTCACAAATGGAAGAATAACATCCCAGTTCGATTGGTCGGAATTGACATACATGGCGAGCATGTCTCCTAGCGTTCGGTTGAAGCACTCAGACCGTTGTTCTGTGGGTGGTAGGCTGTAGAGGTCCGGTGCACCGTGCGGCATGCCCGAAGGAGTTGTTGTACAAGTTGTTGTACAACTTCGGATAAAAAGACACACCCTCGATCACTCAGCAGTTCACGTGGTGCCCCATGATGCAGTACGAAGCGTCGCAAGACGAAATTGGCTACGTCACGTGCACCAGCCGTAGGGAGTGGAGCTGTTTCAGCATACCTCGTCAGATGGTCGACCGCGACAATGATCCATCGATTTCCAGTGGCAGTGTACGGAAGGGGACTATATAAATTGATTCCAAAGCGGTCAAAAGGGCGCGCCGGGCACAGTAGAGGCTGTAATAATCCGGGAGAATGAGCTGCTGTCTTTCGTTGTTGGCATAATGAAGAGGACCGAATTTATTTTTGTACAAATGTGTACATACCACGCCAGTAGTAACGCTGGCGGATCCGGTGATATGTTTTTAACACACCAGCGTGAGCATGTTGTGGGTCGGCGTGAAAATACGCACAGACATCAGATCGCATGTGGCGTGGTATAACCAAGAGCCATTTACGGCCATCCGCATGATAGTTTCTGCGGTATAGTTGCGCATCCCGTATCTCGAAATGTGTGGCTTGGCGGCGAAGAGCGCATGGGTACGCATACGTTGAGGAGTCGGAAAGAATGTTGAGGAGAGATTTTATCCATGGGTCTTTCCGCTGTTCAGACGACATGCTTGAGACGAAAATGGGAGCGATGGGAAAGTTGGCGTCCGAATGCAGGTCTGCGCTGGATCTCACTAGTGATCGTGAGAGGGCGTCCGCATCAGAGTGTTTTCTTCCTGAGCGGTAGACGACACGAATGTCAAATTCTTGTAGGCGAAGAGCCCAACGTCCACGGCGACCTGAAGGATCTTTTAGCGACGCCAACCAACAAAGTGCGTGGTGGTCTGTCACAACGTCGAAACTCTGTCCGTACAAGTAAGGACGAAACTTGCTTAACGCCCAAACGATTGCGAGGCATTCTTTTCCAGCTATGGAGTAGTTCATTTCCGCTTTCGTGAGTGCGCGGCTTGCATATGCGACGACGTACTCTGGAATACCTGGCTTTCGTTGCGCGAGTATGGCTCCCAGACCAACGCCACTGGCATCTGTGTGCACTTCAGTGGAGGCACTTGGATCGTAATGGCGTAGAATGGGTGGCGACGTAAGCAGGCGGCGCAGTGTAAGGAAGGCTTCGTCACATGCCGGGGTCCAGTTAGAAAGATTAGCTGGACGATTCAGTAGTTGCGTAAGTGGGGCTATTATTGATGCAAAGTTGTGGACGAATCGGCGAAAATACGAGCACAAGCCGATGAAGCTCCTAAGTTCTTTGAGTGAAGTCGGCTTCGGAAAGTTGGCTACGGCTTGAAGTTTGTCCGGGTCGGGGCTAATTCCATCCTTTGACACAACGTGACCAAGTATAGTAAGTTGGCGAGCCCCGAAGCGGCACTTCTTTAGGGTAAGCTGGAGGTTTGCCTTAGTAAGACACTGAAGAATTGTGCGCAGACGGTCAACGTGGGTAGGGAAATCGGGAGAAAATACGATAACATCATCAAGGTAACATTAGCATATCTGCCATTTAAGGCCGCGTAAAACGCTGTCCATCATTCGTTTAAACGTTGCAGGTGCACTGCACAGACCGAATGGCATAACCGTGAATTCGTATAGGCCATCCGGCGTAACGAACGCTGTTTTGGGACGATCACACTCTGCTATCGGAACCTGCCAGTAACCTGAACGAAGTCCAGCGAAGAAAAGAATTGGGCACCTTGTAGGCAATCGATAGCATCGTCGATGCGGGGAAGAGGGTACACATCTTTCCGTGTAATTTTGTTCAGTCGCCGGTAGTCAACACAAAATCTAATCGAACAGTCTTTTTTCTTCAATAGCACAACAGGTGAAGACCAAGGGCTAGAAGATGGCTTGATGACACCGTGCTGAAGCATATCGTCCACGTGCTCTGCAATTACACTTCGTTCCTTGGGTGATACGCGGTAGGGGCGTTGCCGCAAAGGAGGGTGCGTTCCAGTGTAGATTGTGTGAGCGACGGTGTTAGTTTGACTCGGTGCCTTTTGAGGAAGGTCAAATGAATCACGGAATTCATGCAGAAGGGTTATTAGCTGGTTCCGTTGATCCAGAGGAAGCTTGCTGTCGATGGAACGATCGAAGATACCCGAGTAGTAGTCATCCAGCGTAAAAGAAGGAGTAACAGCGTTCAGTTGAAGTTGCTGGCCAGGGTCGTGGGACTCAATAGGCACAATAACGTTGTCATCAACAGGAAGAACATAGCCCAGTGTTTCGTGAGCTCTTAAGGTGAGAGGGTATGAGCTAGGATTGCAAACGACAATTCCGGAAGTATCTTGGTGAGGTGGCAGAACAGCGTATGGCAGAGACGTACCGTGGCGGCGACTGAAAACGTCAGATGGGGAGAACACAACGGTAGAGCCGGACAATTCAGTGCGATTGACGGGGACAATGATGGCACTAAGAGGGGGAACATCTATGTCAGAAGCAACAAGAAGCTTGCCAAGGTGAGTGAGCTCATTGTCAGTAGATGGCGCATCAGAAAACACAGAAAATTCCACCTGCGTGCGAGCGCAGTCAATTACGACATGGTGGCGTGAGAAAAAAATCCCATCCAAGTATCACGTCGTGGGAACAAGTGGCCAACACTCTCTACACTAGCGAATGTTGGCGAAGAACACGGCTGAAGCAAAGATGATAGAAGCGGGCCATCTCTGTTGCATGGAGGGTGCATGCAGTACCATTATCCCGCATGCCAAACCTGCTATCACTTGCTCCTCAAAAAGAAAGGAAATGTCCCGCCAGTATTCCCCTAGGCGAAAGAACATAAGGAACGCTAGAAAACTGGGAAGGGAGGGCTGGGTAGCTAGCGCAGCAACTATGAACATTTAGGGCGCTGTGGCGAGCGTTGGCGTGCTTGAGCGTAAGCGGGCGCAGTGGGAGGAAAATTCATCGCAGTACCTGCTCCTTACTAGGTCAATCTAGGGGGCAGACAGGGAGCCCCAACCCCCTTTAATAGGTGGCAGAGGCATGGCCACCCCCCCCCCTCCTGCCTCACGCATGCATATGGGAGTGAGTGCTATCCGTTAACATCAGCGAACGGCTCATAGACCACTCTGCATGTTGTGACCTTTGCTAGTGCTGTGTCACCACTGATGCAAAAACGGCATGACAGCAACCTCTCTTTCGAGCAACTGTATTCCCATACACCAGTATTTTGTAGTTGTGCAACATCAGATCAAAGGGAGTTTGCTGCAAGCCTTACTTCGTGTAAAACTACGACATGTTGCTATCGCATTCACACTATTTCGCAATTTCAGTGGAACGTATTTTCTTTTTGTCAAAATTCAAAAAGACCAGTTTTTCTACCCCACAAGTTGAACTCACCCCTTGAACTCATCAACTGAAAACCAGTGAGTATCAATGGGTATGAGCAGGTGTGAGTAGGAACATGAATGAGTGACTGAGTGTGAAATGGCGTGTGTGTGGACGTGATAGAGTACGTATGAGTCTGAATAGATGAGTAGAGTGTTAAGTGCTGCGAGTCTGTGAAGGTGTGAGTGTGAACTTGAGCTAGTAGGTATGTGAGTGCACGCGAGTATGAATGTGGGTGACTATTGATGAGTCCAAGTAAATGTGGCCTGTGAGAGGGCACTTATGAGTGTGAGTGGGTGTGAGTATAAACTGGAAGGAGTACCCATGGGCATTAGTAGGCGAGGGTGAAACTGAGTGAGTACTTATGAGTGTTAGTGGGCATGAGTATGCAATGGGCATGAGGTGCCAGTATGCGAGTGGAAGCCTATAATAATTCTGGGGCTTAATGTGCCACCATATGATTATAAGAGAAGTATTAGTGGAAAGCTCCGGAAATTAAAACAATCTGGTGTTCTTTAACGTGCACCTAAATCTAAGCACACATCTAAATCTAAGCACACACAATTTAAATCTAATCTCAAGCATTTCCGCCTCCATCAAAAATGCAACCGTGGCGGCTGAAGTGAGTCACTATGAGTATAACATGAGTGAGAGCCTTCAAGTGTGATTATGAAAGTGAGTGACTGTATATGAGAGTAAGAATGCACAGTTGCAACGTACCAGCCAGGAAAAATTAAGCGGCGAGAAATGTAAAAGTGGGGTGCTAGTGCATACTTTCACTCGTTTTTAACTAGCAGGCGTACCCCATTACACACATATAGACCTTTTCAAAGCTCTTGCCCTCCTCCTCCTCCCCCCGCCCCCTTACGAGGGACCTTACATGATTAGAACTGTCTTAACAAAGCAGAGTACCTATATCTGGGTACTATTTGTTTATCGTTCCGTCGAACAACATTATAACACACAAATTTCTGGTGTTCTTTTCTGTTCAGTGCTGTTTTGTTTTCATATGTATTGCTTACCCTGCTTGGACCTTGAGTAAGCATTCTTGGGCTAAATAAATAAGATATTAAAAGCAAAGAAACTGCATCAGGAACAGACCTCCTGCTGTGTCACAAGTGCCTAAATGTAGCATACAATTAGCAATTCCTGATGTACCTCTGAAACACTGTTCCCTTGTTAAAAGCACTGCTTGTTCAATTTCCCGCAATAAGCTTACCGTGGCGAATTATTGCACGCTTCTCACGCACCTTTTTCCTGAAGCTTCTCCTCCGAGATGGCCTCTTGCTGGCGCTGCTGCTGAAGCTGCTGCTGTTGCAGGTGCTGCTGTTGCTGTTGCTGCATCTGTGCATGAACTTGGGCAGCCAGCTGAGCTGCCATGGCCTGCTGCTGGGCCAGCACGCCCATCACATATGGCTGGCCCAGCATGTACGGCGGTAGTCCCGCCATTGCTTCTCACTGGAGACCACCACTCAATCACACTGCATCAAGGAAAAACAAACTTTTAACGATACGCAAACGTCCTAAGCAAGTTATGTGCTAGCCTAAATTCGTATAACATTACAACAGGATATTGCATCCATTGCTTGACCTTTGAGGTGAAGCCGATTTTTCCGTGCTGTCACCAATGTTACAGAGAGCGCACATCATCGTCACCATAAGTCTGACTACACCCACAGCAGGGAAAAGGCCTCGGTCCTGTAGTTGCTGCTGCCACTTTACACCCACAAACTTCCCAATCTTATATGCCCAGCCAACTTTTACAACAAAATCTGTTATGAAATCGTTTTTCGGATCACGCACAGTTGTTGTTCGCCAGCGCCGGTGTCCATAACCACATCGCTCGAAATTAGAAAAAAAAGCCTTGCATTAATGACACAGTTGCGCTTGAACCCGGGTCCGCGGTGTGCCAGTTCAATATTCTACCACTGAGTCACGGTGGTGCTTATAACTTGTCAAACTTGCCTTAGGCAGGCATGACCTAGCACCAATGGCACAGTGGGGCTCGAACCCGGGTCCGCTGGGTGCCAAGCCTGTATTCTACCACTGAGCTACACCGGTGCTTGTGACTTGTCAAACTTGCCTTAGGCAGTCTTGATGTCGGGAAAGCAGTCATGTTAATACGACTTATAAAGCGTTTTACAACAGCGAAAGAACAACCAGTCGTCGCATAATACGAATAGAGCAACAAGTGGGCCGTCCAATGCTCCAAACCATCACAAAAGCTTGTTCTTGTTCTCCTATTAACTGTGGTGCATACCCACATCAGCCATAATTCTTCATCTTCGTCAGCCACTACATGGACAATTGGCACAAAATTCCTTGCAAGTGTTCAGCGGATACCACGCTTCTGAGAATAGCATAGCGAACGCCGGCCTGCAACCCAAAAGTTTTTTGTTAACGCCCTAGTGGGTACCAAGCAAGTGTGCTTGCAGTAGTTACCCAATAAATGTTTTGAAAGGGCTCTGAAAGGCCACTCTTCTAGCTTGGGTTGTGACTGTGCTGCGCCTACCGCACAGGCCTGGTGTTTCTTTTTTTGTTTTTTTTTGTTTGTTTGTTTACCCTGACCTGCTTGCCTTTTCTGGGAATCCAGTTAGTTATCCTTAAATGACCAGCAGTTATCCGGCCTATGTGCTAAATGCCCTGCTCATGTCCATTCTTTCTACTTGATTTCAACTATGGTATCCTTAACCTCCATTTGTTCCCTGATCCCCTCTGCTCTCTTCTTGTCTCTTAAAGTTACAACAAGAGAGCGCACAAAGAGATGATAAATCCCTTGGATGGGCCACATCGCTGATTACAGCAGCACATGAAGGTGCCCAAGACTGCCTGGGAGCACTTTTGGCACAATAATATGTTTTGGAGCAGGATGACGCAGCTTAAAGGGCCCGTAAACCACCGAGAGGCCTGAATGCAGTTGTGGTGGGGATATTGTGCACGAGTGTACGACGAACGTGCAGCCGTGAGAATTTTTCGAAACGACGGTGCAGTACTAGCGGAGTTAGACGTATTTGATTATCAAAACCATGACGACCACGCCTTTCACTCTCTCCTGCGCTTCCTTCCGCTGGTATCCTCTCCCACGTGGCTTTGTTCTGTCACCAAGCACCCCTCCTAATCTCGCGTGGCATACATAATTGCTGACGCGCTGCTTGAAACACCGTCTACTTCTGGTTGCCGCGACTCCGGCCATCGACTCCGTCAGTTGCAATGTAGCTGTGTGCTTGTAGGCGAACTGTGGCTACTGTAATCGTGCCGGTATGGACCCTGCGTTGCGCACACGCCTTCAAAGGATCGCCAATGCGATGGACGCATACAGAAACATGCCGTACCCCGCACGTGTTGCAATCATGCGGGCAACATGACGAACAACAAGCAGTGCAGACAACTGCTGGCAGACTGACCAGGAGCCGTAGGCTCTAGCTCGAACAATCACAGCATATTTGGCATATTTGGCTCGGTGCGTCAGAGATGTCGCATGGCGCACCACGTGGAGGCCTGAAGGGCCCGGAAAGGAGGAGGGATTATTTCTTGGAATTTGTGGCGGACCGGCGGCTCGTAGCACTGCCACGTGTAGAAAATCCTTGATTGTGACGGCATTCTGCACACAATGCGCAGGTTTACTTGAAATGCTTGAAAAAACTCTGAGGTAGTTTGCAGACTCAGCATGGCTGGCTCAGCTGGCTCAGCATGGTGCAGCACTTTCATCCCTGTGTAGCTGAACCAGTGCATACCAAAGAATTAACTTCCAGAAGTGTGATTTCTAACCAAAGAGTTGTTTTTTAGAAATGCATTTGTGTACATATTGCAGGCGACGTCATGTGCTTGAGGCACTGGCGGTGTCTGCCACTCTGTCCGTGGTGGTGCAGACGTTCTTTGGCATGGGGCTTTATCGGTTTTGTTGAAACGGCGAGCGGTGACAAGACGCTGTGTGCATGACACTGAAGTGTGTATGGATTACGTGCTTTTGATTGCTCACGCAGAGACCACCAAGATGGACACACTGCCATTCTGACTTTGGAGCAATCTCTGGGGATCCACCCCCATGCAACCTTCATACAATGAAAGTATTTATAGAAGCAGTAATCAGCTGGGAGATTGTTATGGCAGCCGAGTTGACTTGTGTAGGTGATGCATTTGTGAGCATGCCTTCCATTAACATTCAGCCTCCTGAAGAACTTGATTATCTGTTCTCTTATATTTATCCAGAATAGCAGCTCTCCGATATTGCAACCTTGTTTTTGGTGCACTTGCGCAGATTTGCTGGTGCACCTTTGCTTGCAGTGAAACCGCGCCAGCAAAATCAAAGGATTTGACAAACAGGAATGACAACAGTCATCAGCAAGCTTAAGTATGACTGATGCCGAAGTGTTGGGCTCTGTTGCCGAAATAATACCTCGGCATGCTTGGATTGTATATCACCATGCATTGGTAAGATCTTGGCAACAGAACCCACAGCTACGCGGTGCTAGCCTTAATCAGTTTCAGGACATGCTGCGGGGCGTTGGAGTTAAGCTTGCCGACAACTGCACACAAGACACATCGTGTACGATTCGTTCCTCCTCAGCAAGACTTTTGTTACCTCTGGCACTGTTTTACTGCAACTACGAACTAAGTAGCCCAAAATCAAAAATACATCTTCACAAATGTGTCTTCACTTATACGTGTATTCTCAAGGAGAAACAAATTATTTAGAACTCAGCGCTTGTCTGCGTCATCTCACTTCGTCCTTTTTTTTTCTGTGCTGTAAGTGAATTGACCCTTTGCAGGAACACTTCTCTGCATGACCAGCAATGGCACAGGTAGCTCCCTCTACAGGCATTTTGGTTGGGAAACATCAGCCCGGCCAGCCGCCGGTCATACATTTGTGTGCCGTGGTTAAGCGGCCTCGCTTTCGTAGTTAAGGCAAATATGCCAGCACAATGCACAAATTATTTTTTACGGAGATAGAAGCTTAGAAAGCTGGGCTTGATAGTTCGTGTTAAGGCACGAAAAAAAACTTGCACAAACTACTGGTGACTGTGTGTGATTGGTTGTGCCTTTATTGTTCTTCTCGTAAGTTTTCACTGGTATTTCTCGTAGCTAAACTGAGAAATGAGCGCTAACATTGACAACCTCTCGTCCGCGAGGCTACGTGATGAAAAGAGAGATGCTTGAATAATGGCACGTGAAATGTTTGTGGAGGAGGAGAAAACCTTTATTGAAACTGAAGAGTGTGGCGCATGCAGCTCGCCGTGGCTGCAGAACCAGTGCTGGTCGTCTAACATTCTTTCATCTTTTTAGTGTATCACGGCATCACACGAGTCTCGCATATATCAGCACTTCCAACAGACTGCATGCACAATACTGCCGTTAATATGCGAAGATGCGCTCTCACGCTTTTGCGCCAACAATGATTGATAGAAGCATGGGTAATTTAATAATCACAATAGTGGCAGCTGGATCCGTAGCCACTTTACATGTAGTAGGAGAAACTCCTGTGGCAAAAAGAAATCGTAACATTGCGTATTAAGAAAGTGCATTGCATCCTCCCACTAATACTGTTATACTCGCAAATGCATTGACGCATATTCATTTAATCGTTGTCTGGCACTTTGGTAATTTTAACTATAGGTGCTTATATTGAAGTGTACTAGAAATGCTTATAATACGCTCTACATATTGTCGTGGTACAACGCGAATAAAACACAGGTTCACCTTGAGGCAACAAAAGCAGCGTGTTTTCAACAGCTGAGCCACAAGATCGTCTTCTTCGGTCTTGAGTGAAGCTAGAGGCCCACTACCTCGTGTCCACTAAATCCCCCCTCATTTTTTTCATTCACATGTAGACATGCATCATTTGCCTCCCTCTCAAAGATCATCACCCCGATGCAAAGTCTGTAATGAAGTTTTGTTTGTTTTTTTTTTTTCTCAAGAAAAGTCTCACATCGCTCGCTGACGTAAGGCTTCATGCGGACTACGTGAACGAGTTCAGGATGGTGCTGGCGACGCCTTGTACTATACGAACTGTCAGGAACAACTTCGTAAGCGGCGTCACTCAGTCTTTGCAGCACTAGGTACGGTCAAAAGTATCTTCTTAAGAGCTTTTCGGAAAGTCCTCGTTTCCGTACCGGCGTCCAAACCCATACTTTTTCGCCAGTTTGGTAGACGACTGTTCTGCGGTGAGCATTGTAACGGCCTGCATCGTACTCTTGCTGCTGGCTAATGCGTAAACGTGCAAGTTGCCTAGCTTCTTCCGCGCGTTCAGTAAACGTGTCGGCATCCGGGATGATGTTGTCGCCTTCGTGCGGTAACATTGCATCTAACATGGTTCGTACTTCCCGTCCATGAACGAGGCTGAACGGTGTCATGGGGGTCGTTTCTTGCTTGGCCGTGTTGTATGCAAACGTTATGTTTGGCAAGATTTGATCCCAATTTTTGTGTTCAACGTCTACGTACATTGAAAGCATGTCTTCAATGGTTTTGTTTAGACGCTGTGTCA